CACTGTTTGGCCTATTGTACCAGCACCGGATGATAGATAATGATGAGTGTGGAGCCGTCGGTGGAATGAGAATTGGCAGGGGAAACCTAAATACTCGGAGAAAACGTGCGCCAGTGCCAGTTTGTCCACCACAAATCCCACCCGGGCCACCTAGGTTGGAAGTCGGGGACTACCGTCTCATTCATGGCACGGCCCAAGGGCTTAAGTGTAAGTCTTGCACGTTTCTCAGAATACTGTTAAACTTCTACCAGATCACACGGCATCACACGCTTCTGTATTTCGAACAGCTTATTTGCGAATCAACGTAACAGAACGCAACCAATGTTCAGGGACCTTCAGTAGCGAGCAGGAGGAAGCGGACTGACTCACTCAAGCCGTGAAGCCATCCCCTTTGTGCAAGCGGCACGTCCCGTGACCTTCATGGAGACGGCAGCTGAACTACATATGCACACAGTTGCATACTGTCACGTGTTAAGTGACGACAGACGGGGTTCGGATTGGTAATTGGATTTACTGAACTCTTACAGGACGTAACTACAAGTAATCACGACAATCTTACTGAGATACACATGGCAAACATCACTGTCACTACAGCACACAAAGAGGCTTCTGTCTTCACTAGCCGTTTCTTGGTAGCGGCATCAACGGCGGACATTCCCCTTCCTCTGGGTTCCCGAAATGTCCCCCGCCTCAGCTACCAGCTGCTCGCTTCTAATATCTGCGACTCTGAACTGGCTCAATCACTCAGAATTAGAGTCAGAGTTACTTTACGACTGGCGGTTTACAGCCAATCAGTTATATAGCCCCGGCATGAACCGCGCAGAAAAGTCGCTTCCATTATTGCGTGTTCTCTCTCGGAGAAACATGTTCACAGAGCTGTTCCCCAGCAACGGCTGTTGTACTGCCGCCTGTTTGCAGACTTAGCAATAGGTCCACATGTCACAATATGCTGAACAGAACAAACGAAGTTCGTGGCATAAGCAACACAAGCTAAAGTCATGAGCTTCTCACACAGCAACAGTAAGTTTCCTGTGGTACTGTGGCCTGTTTGGCAGACCGCGTATAATCGAATTTTCCGCGTTCGTTAAATAATTGTTTGCAATTATTTTCGAGCGTGTAAACGAATTCGCGTTTGGATAATTTGCGTGCGTCTTTCTTTCGAGGAAGTGGGGAGAATCTCAACAGTGGACTCCCTATGCTGGCCTTGCACCCATTTTGGTCCAGCTGGAGGGGAGGGGGAGCTGACGCCCTGAAATGTAGGTCGCAGATTATGACGCTATTCGGACTAACTGCTAGAAGCGAGTGGAAGAGTGTCGAGACTCCACTCCGTGACTATGCTACCATCAGCTTCACGAAGTCGGTCCGACTGGTTCTTGTCCCTTGTACCACTGCACGAGAGTCTTGAGCAGCTGTCAGTAAGTCTGTACACACGGAGCCGACTGGTTCTTGTCCCTTGTACCACTGCACGAGTCTTAAGCAGCTGTCAGTAACTCTGTACACACGGAGTCGGCTGGTTCTTGTCCCTTGTACCGCTGCACGAGAGTCTTGAGCAGCTGTCAGTAAGTCTGTACACACGGAGCCGACTGGTTCTTGTCCCTTGTACCACAGCACGAGTCTTAAGCAGCTGTCAGTAACTCTGTACACACGGAGTCGGCTGGTTCCTGTCCCTTGTACCACTGCACACGAGTCTTGAGCAGCTGTCAGTAACTCTGTACACACGGAGCCGACTGGTTCCTGTCCCTTTTACCAGTGGACGAGAGTCTTGAGCAGCTGTCAGTAACTCTGTACACACGGAGCCGACTGGTTCTTGTCCCTTGTACCACTGCACGAGAGTCTTGAGCAGCTGTCAGTAACACTGTACACACGGAGCCGGCTGGTTCGACGACAGTGAGCAATGAATTGGAGTGCACACAGAAGGAAGCAAATTTGGCCCCATTTAAGGCACTTCCCCAGTATTTGCCCGGAGCCACTGAGAGTGTCAAGAAACCCTTAATAAAATACTCGGTGATGTGGACGGGATTCAAAACGGGCGCCTCCCGAATACAAGACAGAAACGTCCCTTCTGTGGGTTGCGTAACGACGCCCTGAATATCGAAACTACATTGCTTGAGCAACTCGCTGGTCTCACCTGGACAAGACAATATACCTCTACGATGCGAGGTTCTTGTGGCGGCGGATAACAAAACTGCGATTTTCTTGGCTGTGACGCCGTATAGCGTCACATATGTGAAAAGTTCGTACCAAAGCATCACATCCAAGAAGATATTAATATACCTTTGGTACAAGAAGGAAAAAGAAGCCGGGATAGCTCAGTCGGTATAGCGACTGGCTACGGGCTAGACGGCAGAAGGATCGGAGTTCGAGTTCCGGTAGGGGAAAGATTTTTCTCCTCTCCACGTCGTCCAGACCAGCTCTGGGGCTCTCCTATCCAACTGGTACCGGCGGCTCTTCCTCCGGGCTGAAGCTGACCACTCACCTCGAGAGTGCCGAGGTCAAAAATACACGGATCTATACAGCCACTCCCCCCATACGTCTTCATGGCCTAGTGCTTAGTGAGTTAAGCATAGGGACAGCTTTTACAAGGAGGAAAATGACAGTGGTTTCTGCAAGCAGAATTCTCTGCGTGGGATCGTTCGTGCTCACTTGAACGCCCAGCATTTCTTTAGAAATGGCCTGAACGTGACGGCCGTTCCCCACGAACTCTGCCACTTATGAGGGACAGCAGTTTCTGCGCGGCGGGCAACTCAACAGACCGGAAAGTTGCGGTGTAGTGGACAACACTGATCCTCCGTATTCGGGGGGTCCAAGGGTCAAGACCATATTACACGTATGTTAGTCCGCGAGAATATCGAGATTATGCGTAAAAGCAGGCCACGACCGCTTCCCCCACATTCGTTTCAATCACAATTGCCTCAAACAAATCAAGATGCCGAAATCTGAACTAACAGAAGATACAGAAGAATATTATCTTCTGGGGAGTGACGCCGTGCAGTATGGTAGAAGTGTAAAGACGTTTCAGAGAAATGTACTGCCTCCATCATCAGTGTCTAATATAGTGAGATAAGCAGGCAGACCCGTCAGACAGTAAAATCCGAAGAAACACTGTGCTGGCGAGGGCCAGCAGCAATTTAGCAGCCAGTCAAAACGAGAGTGCTGCGAACAGTGGCCGACATGAGAGCCTCAGACCCAGCCGCGGTAGGAGGGCCGCTTGCTGGAAGGCAGGTGTTCGCGCATTATCTCAACTCGTAAACATGTTTCCGCGTCTTGCGCAATCGATGAAGGCATTTCGGTTTCGTAACAACAATTATGTAACACCGAGTGTACAGAGCTCGGTCCTTGTTTCCATAGAGATTATCGAACTGAGGCTACAGTCTCTGGCAGGGTCAAAATGCACGAAGGCAATTGTACTGCTCGCGATAACTCGAAACAACACATCGGGAATCGAGATCGATCGATCGATTTGTATGTATTGTTTGAGGCTCTCACAGCGGTTGCTATTAGGCGTACCGTTCTGGGATGTGACGCAGTGTAATCCGGTAGTTCACCGACGTTTCGGATCAACGTACTGCCTCCATCATCAGGCTCGAATACTGATGAAGCAATAAGTGGAGTGAACCGAGCGTGGAGAACATGGTCAGATAGATCTAGGTAAGAGGATTTACGCATATTACAATTATTTTCCTCAGGAATTCTCAGGCCATTAAGCCAGAATGTCTGCATGCGTACACACAAGTCCATAAAAGAATGTCAATGGAATTCATTAAAGTGTCTTAATGACAACCAAAGCTGAATAAGGTTTAGGCTTCTGCGGTGATTCCGTGTAGTTTGGCATAAAGGTACCAATGTGCCGGAGGAATATTCTGCTTGCTTCTTCTGTCCGGAAAATAAAGGCTCAACAAATTCGTCTGAAACACTGGGATTTATCTATCAAACTACACGCCGTCACATTCCGCAGAGGCATAGTCTCCTGGTTTCACCCAATGAGAACACGCTACAGCATTTCCGAACCTCATACAAACATACAAAAGGGGGAAAACTCATACTAAACTTCCCTATTTCTTTCCTTTTGTTTTCGTTCTTTCTTTTGGCCTCTCTTTCTTCTTTAACCTTTTAAAGCAAAGTTGTGACTATATGTACCACATGATTAACATTTTAAAAGGCCTGTACGTATTCTAACCACTTACTCTATTTATGTTTTTCTCATGTTTCCAATATAAATAGTGATTATTTTCTTAAATTTCGGTTATATGTCCGTTTACAGGAGGCGCAGTGTGTTTTCTGTGAAGTATGAACTCAGCTTGTTAATGCTACTGGAACGAATTTCACGCTTCGACTGTTGCGCCGCCATTCTGCTGTTGCTACGGATACGGAGCTCTTTCTCTGTTCGATGTGCAACTCCGCCCGACTCTGTTCGTCTGCTCCAAGAGGGACCACTCTAGCTATACACGAAGGACCAACTGACTAACTAACTAACTAACTAACTAACTAAGGATGTGGTAGCAGAACCAAATCCCGCCATTTTACATGATGCTGACCTAGTTCACTCTACCTTCCATCCTCACAATATTTTTGTCCCAAACGCCCATATTACTGATGATTACTCTTCTCTTGGATATGACGTGTAGTCTGGCAGAACTTTAGCGATGTCTTGTCACTCTGAAGATGGAGATATGTTCTTCCGAAACGTCGACGGCGATATACCAGATTACAAGGCGTCACATCCCCAGTCATCGGGCCCGAACTACAAATCTCATGTTCTGTCCTCCAAGTAGTCATTTTCCCACAGGTTTCCCCACCAAAATTCTGTATGTATGTGTTACTTCATACCGCCCGAGTGCGGGATCCACGCTTCGCACCCCGGTGACGCACTAATTGTTGCAGCTATAGGCCCGGCGTTTCTCCGATGACGGCCCGCGATAGAAAGACTGGCTGGGCAAGGAGGTTAGCTGGACATGTATATAAACCGCAACTGGATGGTCGGCGAGAGTTTCATTCTCTGTTGTGCCAGTGACAGGACGGAGGAGCAGACCGAGCACGGGAGAAAGTTGCAGGTAGGTGCCGGAACACAGCTGCTGAGGCACTGCGCAGACGTCAGCGTCGTCACGGGAGCCATTCCTATCTCGAACTGTTCTACACCTGTATTTGGAAGGAGCTCGCTTCGAGCTATTCGTGGTGCTCCTCCCAGACAAGTGTCGGGATAGCACTTGCATTAGGCCCCAACCGCTAACTTCGAAGACGTTTTCAATTCGTCCAACCCCGGCCAGTCAGTCGTCATTCGCCTTACTGAAGGGGCAAGCTCGGGTACAGATCCACGCTGAGTTGTGTTGCTGTACCGTCACGTGTAGGGGTTTTGGATTGGATATTCGATTTATTGACCACTTATACATACTACTCGTAAGTAAAAGTAATTAGAGCCCCACCGCTAATCTTCACAGTTCACAGATCACCACATCACTCGCTAAGTCTTTTCCAGCCTGCTGTGTCTTCACCAACCGTTCCCTGGCAACGGATTCTAACAGTGGAGATTCGTCAGCTACACGAGCTCGGGTCCTTTCTTCATAGCCTCCCGTACAGAATTAAGTTCTTACCTTGTCCCTTGCTTATAACATCTCGGTACGAACAACGGAGAAAATGCCGCTCTCCTATTGTGCCAGTGTTACGTTCGCGTCGATTCGTTGCTGCGGGAACGCGTTTACCGACCCGTTGTCCAGAAACGGCCGTGGTATATCCGCCCATTTCGCGGTCGTTGCATAGCAACGGTTCTACACACTAGAGTATGAAGTAAAATGACAAAGTTGTCTCTACGTTTAATTACTTAAGAACCAGTCGTCCGTGAAGGTATAGCTCCACCATTCTTGACGTCTGCACTAGGTGGAGGTGAGTGGTCAGATTCACGGCCCTGCTGCTCTGTCCTCGAGGAGAGAGCCCCGATACCCATTGGACAGGGACTGGGTGGGCCCCAGAGACGGTCTAAACGTTGTGGAGAAGAGAAAAAAATCAAACCCCGGCCATCCAGTTTGTGGCCCATCGCTGCTCTTTGTGTTATTGTATATGGTTGCAAAGACCGGTCTCTCGCTCAGAGGACATAGAAAAATGTGAGATGCTAAGAGTAAAGACCCAGGCGCATGTCCATCCGTGCCCAGACGACTTCTCACAGTGAGGTACCGGAATTAGACAGGAGCAAGATACATACAGCATGCACTAACGATAGTAAAGATGCATACAAAATACTGGACACGCATGAGTGGGAAATAGCTCTCACGAGACATGTGCATAGTTGGGTAAATAATATTAAAACGAATCTTGGAGAAACAGCTGTGTGAACAGCTGGGTTAGGCTGATTCAGGGTGGACCTTCTAGTTGCAGTTTCCTGGAGTTTGCTGTTTTCATCACAAAGGAGCAGAGAACCACTTAACAGCCTGACGCACTTTTACCTTGCTTTCTCTCGCTCGTTTCAAGGTCCACTCTCGACATCAGCCCAGTCATCCTTCTCCCTTTCTAACTGGTCCGGCAGCCACATGTGCCCCTCACCCCTCAAAACATTGACGCAGGAGCTCCATTTCAACAGAAGCAAGCAGAGCACACATATATATTTCCCTGCCCTACTTCTCTGTCACTATATGTTTCGGCCGTATACGGCCATCATCAGGTGAATGTCTACCTCGCCAAAATCTTTCCACTGTAACTTAAAATCATATATCGGGTGTGGACACGATGCTGATTGCTAGTTACAACATAGAATTAGAATTCAGCTATCCCTGTAATAGGCCCTGGAGGTCCATAGGGTTGTGAGGCGTCGAGGCTCCCACATTTTATCTAGACAATCGGCTCACAGATGGCGGTGAGGTTGTCAGCCTTACGCGTCAGCCGCCTTTTACCTCAAACAAGATTCCTGATACTAATTTCTGTTCGAGGCTGAGTCGACCCCAGGATCATAGTGCGGCTGGAACGAATAGGTCAATTTAAAAAACCTATGACCTCGTCGGGAATCGAACCCGCCACCTTCCGGCTTGTAGCACAGTTTCCTCAACCACAACATGAAAAATTAGAATGAAAACTTCTTAAAAGTTACTCTCGATTGCAGTCTCCAGCTATTCACAGAAATGTGTATATTTGCCGATGCTGGATCTTACTGAACTGCATGCCTTTGTCGCGGTGGGTATTTTGTGTAATGTGTAAATATAAGAATGCATATTTTTGTTGTTGTGACAAAGGAATGCTGCGCAACGATGACCAACATCGGCAGATATACTCTCAGAACGAATGGCTAGAGACCGCAACGAAGAACAACTTTCAAGAAGTTTTCATTCTAACCTTAATTCGAAATGCATTTCAATTTGTAACGAACCTCACGTTCACATCCAATACGTAACTTTATTGCACAGTGGAACAATGGCACTTGATGATAGCCATATACGGCCGAAATATGTAGTGAGAGAGAAGTAGGGCAAGAAAATAAGTTTCATTTCAGAAGGAAATATACGTATGCAAGCAACAAGTTTGTAGCTTGTTTAATTTCCAACCTCTGATATGCTAGAAGTGTCAGCTTCTGTAATTGTGTGCCTTCCATGAGCCGCTTGTTATTCAATGCTGCATTCAAACGTGTGAAGCTATCGTCATGTGAGAGCAGCTTCATACTGTAGCGTGTAGAGCCGTTGCTATGCAATGATCGCGAGATGGGCGGATATACCAGGACAGTTTCTGGGCAGTGGCTTGGTAAAGACGTTCCCGCGGCAACATACATGAATATAACAATGGTACGGCAACAAAGAAACGGTGTTTTCTGTGGTCCGGGCAGCGGCCGTTGCTAGTTAACGGCGTGGTAAACATATCTGCGACAATTAATCCAGACGTAACAATAGAAGAGCTTTTTTTTCCTACGTGGTCCGTGCCGAGATGTGTTATAAGCAAGGAACAAGGTTAGAGCTTAGTCAGTTCTGTATGGGAGTCTGTGAAGACAAGACCTAAGGCCGGAGGCAGAGGAATAACCATTTTTGAGCCGTTACTAGGAAACGTCAAATAACAAAACATTAGACTGTGTGCTCTAGTGAACTGTGAACTGTGGAACTAGCGATGGTGCCATAGTTATTTGTAGTACGACTTGTGAGTGGTCAATAGATCCCATATCTAATCCAAACCCCCGTCAATAGTCACTCATTCACGTGACAATACCATGACTATACTTACTTCTTGCAGCGTGGAGCTGCCCTGCAGACCGCCCTGGCACTTTCATTTCAGGACAAGACACGCGGTTCCCAAGTCTTCATTAAGCACAAGGATGGACCAGTATCCCGATATTAGTTTCTGAACTACTCAGTTCACTGTTCTGTGGCGCCACGATCCTGGGGTTGCAGATCCGCAGCATCCAGACGGGCTCTAAAGGCCACACAGCCACCCGTCCAATGGTACGGTACTGGAATCTTTCCCCAGGGGTTAAGCGGCCGGGGCATGAAGCTAAACAGCTAGTTATCACTGTGCTTTCCAGTCAATTCGACTCATATCCATCCGAAAATTCTACTAAAAGAGCCTATCCCAAAGTAAACCTTAGGCTGAACTCAATTTTCTGAGCAATATTTCCATTACACCGAATAACATGGTTCCATCTGCATGACTCGTTCGCCAGACTTCTTTGTGGCTGACCTTGCGACGCTGTCAGTATGCAGAATACACGGCCTTAAGGAGCGTCGTACTTGTTGCGTGTGTTTCTTGGTTGCTTGGTTTACTATTTGACTCTGAGGATGGATGCAGAGCATTCTTCCGAAACAGTGTAAACTTCTACCATACTATAAGGCGCCACAACCAGTCACCCCTCTCAGAGCCTCAGATCTAGCCATGGTGTTACTTTTCTTTCCCTTGGCACTACAGTCCCAGTGGACCTAGGCCTACCTCCATGAACTTCTCCGTTCACTTCGGTTCTTCTAGATCTTACACGTTCGGTAGGACTCCTTGGGCGGGTGATCAGCTCGTCGCAAGGCCTCTACCTGCATACAAACACAGAAAACCGCGCACACACAAACTAAACATTCATGCCCTGAGTGGGATTCGAACCCACGATCCCGGCTTCCGAGCGAGCGAAGACAGTACATGCCTTAGACCGCTCGGCTACCGTGACCGGCATGGTGTTACTTACAATCACTAATTAACTGAAACATACAAAACTATTCTCCTACCGAAAGGTGCAAACTACGTATTAAACTGAGATTTGGGGAGCAGGGTGCTGAGGGAATATCTGGAGCTAAGAGACGGGGAAATTTGTACTCCACAGAATGTTATTAGGTTTTTAAAATTAACGTAGACTAAATGGGTGAGGCCTGTAGCACGCATTATATATATATATATATATATATATACACACACACACACACACAAGTTTAGTCGAAAAGCCGGAAGGGGCGAAATCACTTGCGAGAAGTAGAAGGGAGGATAATATTAAAAAGGCTCTTAAAGAAATGTTGTGTGACGTGAACCACAGTGAGCCTCTCACAGCACAGACAGACCGAAGCTCCCACGCTCTCGCCCGGCCACGTAGCGACGCAGGAATGTCAATGGCGCTATTGGTACAGCGAGATATTGCAAAAACTGCAACGTGGAACTTTTCCTTAAAAACAGAAACAATGCAGCTTTCTCCCCGGGCCAGTGAACCGCGAGAGGCAGAGTTGCGACATGCCTCTTACTTGCTCACAGCTGTGATATGGCATGTGCCGACGTTTCGGACCACAGATCTTCCTGATGGTTATTTGGTCGACCCTGAAAATTGTGGCAGTGCGTTCCTCCGAAACGTTGGAACTTCCCTACTACACGGCGTCACATCCCACAAGACAGTGCGCTTTATTTGTGGCTTATTTAAGGGCGCTGTCAGTAGCTCAGGGAACGCAGAACCGAATAACAGGACATGACGCGAATGGAATTGGATGTAGCACAATTTGAGCTTCTATCTACGAATCTACGTGCATGTTTATCTACCTACCTCTCTCTGCCTACCCACCTACCTATCTATATATCAATGGCTCTACAGCCCTTGTGGACCTTGGCCGCATTTCAGTTTCTTGATCTTTTACACCCTCGGTAGACTCCTTGGACGGGGAATCAGCCCTCCGCAAGGCCGCTACCTGCACACAGATATCCATGCCTAGAGTGGGATTCAAACCCACGACCCCAGTGCCTGTGAGTGAAGAAAGAAACGAAGCCGGTCTCCGGCCCGCTATTGGGACCCCGGAATTCCCAAATACGAGTCAGGAGAATCGAACCACTCGATAGTAGTGGTAGGACGCGTAGATGGGAGGTTGTGAACAGGATTCATCTAGCTCAGGATACGGACATGAATATTGCTACGAATTTCTTGAGTAGATGAACAAACATTAGCTCCTCAAGGACTCTCATAACTGCAGTTACAAAAGGGTTAACACGATCCTCCTTAACTGCCTGTGTAGGATGAAGCTGTTTCTGCTGCTAATCGCAGTGGGTGTAGCGCTTGCGCGAGGTGTACCCGAGGAAGAGCGCGAGAAGAGACAGGCCGGCTACTACCAGGGCCAGGGAGTGACGCGAGGACCGCAGATCAAGCAGTTCGCCGCGACGCGGTTTCCAGGTGTGGGGGGGCCGTCGCCGCAGGGGTTTCGGGCAGCGCAGGTAGACGAAGACGATGAAGAGGAAGTGGTGAGCCGAAACACAGTGGCTCCGTCCCCCGGCCCGCAGGCGCTGCTCCTCGTGCGACAGTCGCACCCCACGCCCCAGCCCCAACCCATCTACAGGAGGCCTGTAGCTACAGACAACAGCAGGGACTACCAGCAGACACAACCGGTTCGCCGCCCACCGCCCCAGCAGCAGGGAGGTCGCGGAGGACAGTATGCCGCTCAGCAACTACAGGCAAGTGTCTATTTACGGAAATGCGTCATGTGACCTCACAAATGTTTACTGACGTTCCGGAAGAATATGCCACCATCTTCAAGGTCGAAGCGCAAGGAAGGAAGCAATCAGAACTTCGTACTGTATGCTTGTCTAGCTTGCTCTTCGATCCTGAAGATGGAGGTATTATACTAGTCCGAAACTTCGGTGGACTGCTACCGAAATACATGGCATTATAGCCACAAGATCGTACTTTTTATTAAGTTGAGTCTCATGGGCAGTTATCAACATTTCAGAGGAACATACTGCTTCCATCTTCAAGGTGGAAAGGAAAACATGTTTGTGGAACACGTAAACTTTGGAAGAAGCTGATGACTGGTTGATTGAGGTAACAACTGGAAACCTGAGGTTCAAATCCACGTGTGTTTCGGGAGTTTGTTTCATAATCGCAACTTCCAGACCAGCTCCGAGCATTGCCTAGCCTTCTCTTTCTTCGAGGGTACAGTGACCGAAGCGTGAAGCTGACTACAATGTCTAGCAGAGAGGTTAATCAGTTTAACTTTGTCCCAGGGGTTAGGCCCTGTTTTGGTTCCCAGCAACGTGCGCAATCCGTTGGCGCCAATGTGAAGAACACGCGTCTGTGAACAGGGTCAAGGGTTTCGCTGCCGACGCACCGTTCCGTCGCTGCAAACTTGCGTGGATAAAGATAGCGCACGAGAAGGAAATGTGGAGGCATGCGTCACATCGTGATACGAACAGATGAGAAAGGCCTGCATCTGAATACATTGGGCTGCCGACGTAAAAATGACTTTTATTTATGTACGGTTTATGTAAAAAGGCTGTCAGTAATTCAAACTGGCCAAACTTAATGAATATGAAACTGCATAAAATAGTTTTGAGAAGTCTGAGGGTCGCAGACATAGAAGGGATGGCACAGATGTTCAGGTACGCAGTGGATGTTTTGTGGTTAATCCGGCAGCCCCACTCTCGGTGCAGAGGAACCGCATGCGGCTCCGGAGCCACAGTTTGGCCACTTCCCTTACATAACATCCAGCAATAGGATGACTAGTGAATGACGAATTCGAAACTGTGTGGAAGGAAGCAGCCGTGGCCGAACTTAAGGTACTATCCCAGAATTTTAATGGACGGACTCGAAGGAGTGCCAATCGCAACGTTCCGTTCGTGTGTATCGGAGAAGCAGACAACAAAACAGAGAAAATTACGAAATTCCAGCAACTCCATTACATTAAGGAGACTAGTGAGCGGGCCGGTGTGAAGGCTCTCGGTTCGAATCTCAGCCCGGACACGAGATATTCGTGGTATTCTTCAGTTCCTCCAGGCAAGTGCCGCATTAATACCTCATTAGGTCCTGGCCGTACCCTTTATTTCATCAACCATCATACCATTCGACGCTACAGAGTCTAGATACTGAGCGTCACAAAATGAAATACGAAACAAGACTGGGAAGAACCGGCCGCCTACTTTCATTTGATATAACACGGACCGCAGAGAAAACGAAAACATGGGCAGCAAGGTGATTTCGTAAGCCTCTTTTATTTTTTCAAAATAAGAAAAATAGGCTCAAAAATAAAGAACATTTAACTGAAATGAAAGCAGGGAAAGTTAAAGTGGAAGTTGTCTTTAGAAACATGCCAGCTACGGTAGCGAACGTACTGAGGTGGGGCGCTGAGAGCGAGAGTGAACGTAAGAGAGGGCTGGAAGAGTAACCTGGAGGCAAGTTGCTACAGACGCAAAGAAGTGCGACATATACTGGAATATCAAAACGCGGAGGAATTCGTTACGCTTTCTATCTCCGTGCCAATCCACTTTCTCCGAAATCCGAGGATCGGGCTTTCTACTGCCAGTAGGCGGCAGCGGATTGTGACGTCATAGACAGGTCAAGGTCACTGCAGCTGTAAGAGAGGCGGTGGAATTTATGCAACAATGTCTGGCGAGTGACGCACTCTCTGCGCGTGATTCTCTGTTTCGGAGGGCGGAGGTTAAATTGGTTGAGACACTACGCTACAAGCCGGAAGGTCATGGTTCGATTCCCGATGAGGACATTGGATTTTTCAATTGGCCTAATCCTTCCAGCCGCATTGTGGCCCTGGGGTCGAATCAGCCTCTAACAGAAATGAGGACCAGGATTGTTCCTGGGGGTAAAGGGAGGCCTAGTAAAAAATAAATTGGGAGGCATGTGAGGGAAAGTGGTCGTGGATTAATTTGGTGGGTTAAGCTCTTTTCTAGAATCTGATGCCGTGTAGTCTGGTAATTTGATGCACCATCTCGGCATTTATCTGCAGCGACTGTGGAAAACCATGAAGACGTCAGTAAGAATAGGCGGTCTCAGCGCCGAGATCTGAACCCGAGACCTCTGGAATGCGAAGTTCGAAAGCTGACCACTGGACCGCGATGTTCAGTCACCTACTTTCATTGGTGGATTTTTTCCACGCCATATTCAGCGGTAATACTGCCACGAGTAGGCCTCGTGAGAAACGGACGTTGATATTCAAGTAGGCGAGACTTTAACGCTTTAAAGCCCATTGGAAATTACACGCATCACCTGATTTAACGTTACAAAACACTACATTCTGCCTACACAGTGTGTTCCGTATGGTTCTTACACCAAACAGCATTAACCGGTTGGTGTTTGTAACGGAGACGCGGTGTTTCCTGTGAGGTACGAACATAATTCATATACACAGTGCTTCTGGAAAGTAATGAGACAATTTCTGTCTCGTTCAGAAGATAGTTAGAGACGCGAGAAGGAATTTGTTGCAGAAGGAAGACAAATAAATACCCAGTTTTATTTAGAAATGAAGAAGCCAATGCTGCCAAGAATTCGATGGGTCAGACCAGACTGGTTCTTGTTGCGCGAAAATGCAACTGCATCTAATATGATAATTGTTCGAATATTTCTTTCGCAAAGGGGGGTTACTGGCATCAGCCATCCCCTTTATTTAGCAGATTTGGTTCCGGCTGACTTTTCTCTTTTCGCGAAGTTAAAAATGAAGATGAAAGGGACTCGATTTAATATCATTCAAAATATACAAAAGAATGTGACCCGTCATCTCAGCGAGATAACTGCACAGGAGTTCCCAGGATTGCTTAGAAGAGAGGCGTAGCAAGTGTACAGTCTCTCCCATGGGAACTACTCCGATTTTCAGAACAAATACGTTCACTGAACTTACGCCCTTTTTTAAGTATAATTTTGTAGCATTACTATCCAGACGCACTGCGTACATTAGCTATATGTATTTAGTTACATAAACATTATGCTTCATCATCATAGTGTAAATCAACAATTCGTTCACAAACAGCCAGGACCGTGAACACTGTTCAGGCCATGCACAACTTCCATGCCTGAAACTGACGGAGCAAACCGATCCCCCCCCCCCGAAATTTCTTTGTCTCAAGCATTATGCTATGGCTGGCAAACGCCCAGAGGAAGGTACTGATGTTGGACCCACTGGTGGCGCCTCATGGTAGTCGTAACTGGACTGCAGACAACTCCCGGGAAAAAAATTATGCTTCAAAGAGCGAAGTCACATCATCATGCTGTTTTTCTTTCCCTCTTATCTCATAGATTATGCTTTCATAACAGGCGTCTAGCACAACGGGTCACGAGAACAAGTCTACAACGCATGGCACAGCCTATTTAACTTCGCTGTTTCAGCTGGAGGAATTACTTAGCGTGTAGAATAATGTGAAAGTTGCTTAGAGAAGCAACTGGAAGCAAGCGATCTAGGCTTCGGCTCTGTTTGGCCATTCGTCTGAAGGAACCATACTGGTCGCTATGTGTCTTGCGTGTATGCAACCTAAAGTTCCGGTTTCGGGTAAAATGCTGCTGGTCCTCGCCAGCACAGCATCGCGGCACCCATGACCACACTGTTGTCTCGTGACTCTTACTGAGGTTTATCTACGTAATTACAGTTAACAATTCGCTTCATACGTCACAGGTAACACTGGGTTTTAATCACAGAGACTAAGCCCTGCAATTGAGATACAGCGTGTTTTCTGTGAGGTAGACTCTGGATTATTAAATATTGTTTCAAAGGATGAGATAAACTGAATTTAGGGGGGGGGGGCGCTGTAGCCTACGCAGACTGCGCGATAAATCTGAGCTGACAGCTGGCCGCTCGGTCCGGCCGCAGGTGTCGCGTTGAGCAGGAAGCTGATGCTAAGCAGCGCGTGACATTTGTACACAGCAGCCGGCGAAAGTTGCAGCTGGGAAAGGTCAAGTAGGTGAAACGCCTGACAGGACGGCAACACATCGGGCGCTACTGTCCTGCGGGTTTGTTTCCGTGAGTCACTGGGAACTCTTAATAACTTACCCCTTGCAGGCATTCAAACCACACTAATTCTTACCAAAAAATACCTAAATTATTGAAGCTGCTTCATTGTAACGTCCCACAGATATCTCTCTCATGAATGGTATTGTTTACATTGATGAACATGAAATGTAAAAGTGGGCCCATTTTAATTGGCAACTGAATGAGAAGGACATGTATTCAGATACCACCTGATGAAGATCGCTGCAGATTCGAATGTGTAGTGTGAATGGAAAGTAAAACCGAGTACTGGTACCTAAATGTCGGCCTTATAATAAGTCAGCTGTCGTGCTGACGGCTCCTAAACATACCTTTAAAATAAGAAGAAAAAGACAAACTGTAAAGGACGAAATACGGGGTAAAAATAAAGAACAAGGACTAGAGGGAGGTCCAAGACAAGAATGCGCATGAAGGAAGAACTGCAGAAGAGAAGTAACGACGAAGAGCACGATATTCTAGGATATGACGCCGTNCTGCATGCCTCACATGCAGCCCTACCATTGTTAACATCAAAATTTCACCCTAATATAGCTCTCCCAACGTTAGCAANAACTTCCTGGGGGTAAAGAGCGGCCGGCGCGTAAGGCTGACAACCTTAACGCCATCTGTGAGCCGATTGTCTAGAAAATGTGGAAGCCTTAACGGCTCAAGCCCTATGGGCCTCCACGTCCTATTAAGGGATACCTTTACTTACTTTTACTTTATTTTGCAGAACGTAAAAACCGAGCGGGTTGGCATAGCGGTAACGCTCTAGACTCGCATTCAAAGGTAGTACTGTGTTCGAATCTGGACCTCGACACCGGCTGTTCTGAAGAATTTCGTAGTTTTCTTCAGTCTATCCAGACAAATGCCAGGATGGTACCTCAATCAGGAAACGACTGCTCCCTCCCAATTCAGCACCCACCTATCGTCATAACATACCGCTACTGGCTACGTGTGTGTTGCAGGAGGAAGAGATCGAGAAGGAAGAGGAGGAGCCGGACCGCCTGTCCCTGCTGCTGCCGCAGTCCAAGTTCGACTGCACCGCGAAGAAGACAGGTTACTACGCTGACGACGGGCTCAACTGTGAGGTGTTCCATTACTGCCAGGACAACGCTCGGCACTCGTGGATCTGCCCCGAGGGCTTCGTCTTCCACCAGGCACGTACTAACATAACTCGGGAGCACCCAGCTTCCTGTCCAATGGATACCGGGAGTAATCTAGCCCAGGACGTGAAGCTGACCACGTATTTTGATCTCGCGCTGAGGTTAACACTTCCACTCCTCCACAGACCTTCATGGCATGCTGCTTAGGGATACCTTTACCTGTACTTTAGTTTTATGCAAAAATATTAGGGCGATCACAAGGAGAATGGGATTGGCGACACATGTAGCAAGCATGCAGATGAGATTTTCAAGCACACGTTTAGTCAGAACACCAGAAGGGAAGGTACTACATTAATTACTCTTACTTACTTACTCATGGAGCTGAGCCCTTCTTGAGGAGCCGCCAATTCTGCAGGTACTCAGGAATTTCCCAGCATTTTATGGAACCCGAAGGTTCATTACCGTGTTCACAAGAACCTTCCACTGGTCCCTATCCTGAGCCAGATCTATCCAATCCATACCATCGCATCCTATCTCTCTAAGATCCATTCTAATATTGTCCACCCATCTACGCCTTGGTCGTCCCTGTGGTCTCTTTCCTTCCGGCTCTCCCACCAATATCCTATACGCATTCCTCGTCTCCCCCATTCGTGCTACATGACCTGTCCACCTCATGAGACTAGCAGGGTGTGAACCGGAATTATTTGGCGCAGGATAGACGCCACTAGCGGGCTCCTGTGAACATGATAATGAACATTCGGGTTCCATAAATGGTGGGGAATTTCTTGACCAGCTGAATGACTATTAACTGGTCAAAAAGGAATCAGATTCACGGATTTCGTTTAACAATTTCAACATAAAACGCTCAGTAAAGATGGAAGTCATTTGAGAACCACAATCTGTAAGCTGTTACTTGTTTCAACTTCCATCCCGTGCCACTTTTTGCCTGCCAAAGTAGACAACGTCCCCAAGGCTGGCAGAATTTCCACAGCCGTCAGGGCACGCCACTGGGATAAGCTACATACTGGATGTTTTTGTTCAATGTCCCATAACGTGACTTGTAAAGGGGAAAAAATAAGTTTGTCCGTGTGCCTAATTAATTAAGCACGACTCCACACACACGTATGGAGAACTGGTTGTCAGGCTCCACATATTCGTAACCTCGGCACCAGATGGATAAATAGCTCCACGAATTATAAAACCCCGGCAGTATATGGATGTGAGTGGTCAACCTCTAGCCAGACCGCTTTACCTCTCAGAGAAACAGCCCCGGTACTACTGAATAAATGGCTAGGTGCCTCCCAGAATCGGTCCCGGAAAGGGCTTATAAGAAGGAAATATCTTGTCCCTGCCGTCGCTACAGCGACTTGCATGCTGATAACTTGTGGTACTGCTCAGGTGCACCTGATCTGCATGCCGCCCAGCGGGGAAAACATCTGCCAGCAGTCCTCGCAGTACCACTTCGTGAACGACTACTTGTACCGACCGATCAACGCAGAGGAGGCGCAGACCAAGCCGAATGTGACACTGCGCTACTCGGACCGCTACTACCCCGACTCCTATTATGATCCCGCGGAGGAGCAGCCGCGTCCCGTGCCCGCCGCCGCGACTCCACCACGGGCCAGGCCTGTCCAGGTGCAACAGCCCACTCTACGCCCAGTGCAGTACAGGCCGCAGTCGCCTAGCAACCAGGTCTTCCACTCCCCTGAAGAAGTCAACATTCCCCTTCAGCAGCGTCGCCCCGCACAGCCGCCTCCACCGCGGAACTTCCAGGTCAAGGAGGACGACTTCGAGTACGACGACGCGCCCTTTAGAGGGTAGAAATGCATCTCCACCCACTCGCTTACGCCGGCTTCCATTTCCGCAGGGGCGGGTTCCTTCTTGTGGAGCGGAGCCAGAGCGCCTGGGGCGCCTCCCTGCCACTTCTCTTCAAGACGTAGACGCGAAACATAAAGTTCTGGTAGCTTGTTTAATTTCCGACCTCTTATGATGGAAGTGTCAGTCCCCTTAATTAATTATGTGCGTTCTATAAGTTGTTTGCGGTTCAATTCTGCATTCAAAAGTGTAAAACTATCGTTAGGTAACGACAGCGGCTTCAGAGCCTGGAGCTGCCCTCCATACCGCCCCAGTACTTTCATTTGAAGACTATACACTGATAGGAACCGCCACAGAAACATACACAGGTATTCCCGTCTTGCCTGATTGCCATTACGAGGCAATGTCAGATGGCACTAACGCAGATACTTGCTGGCGCGCGGCCATCCAACGGACAGAGTCTGTGCGACCTGCAGCTTAGTCCATCTACCCTAAGCAGAAGTCGGTGATGAGGATAATCCGCAGTTTTAGTGTGCAGCATGTGAACCACTGCAGTCGACAACCGTTTCTCATACATGGATAAGCCGGCAGAGTTTGATTTCAGGGCAGCATCTGCAGTGGACAATTAGTAGCGAACACTGGTTATTTATCACCATTACTCATCAGTGCACGAACAGTTCTGTGTATAAATGGGCCATTTTATGTAATAAAACTCAAATCGTTCGTGACCTTTGTATCCTGTTTGGCAAGAACCTTTAGCCTTCAACCAGAAGTGTCACTCTCGGAAGCGTATGGCAAACTTCTGGTCAGGTCGACATAACAGACAGAGGAGCCTGCTCAGTCAACGTCAAAGTCACATTGCGACTGACAGTCAGCCATCAGTCAGTAAGTCTTGGTTTCGAGCCCCATCTGGGGGTCATGACCAGATATTTATTACTGTTTGACAGTTAGGGTCTTGTTTTATGGCGCGCCCTCTCTGACAAGAGGACGAGTCTGTCTTTTGTATATCCTGCTGGCCCTTACTAGCGCAGTAATTTTTCGGGTCCGAATCCCTTGGGACTCGCGACCATATTTCACTGTCTCAGATCTGATATTTCTTTTCCGTCGCCTCCTACGACTCGCAGGGTCACGGTGGAGGTACTGGACCCCTCCTACACACGCGTTAGCCTGCTCACTGGAGCCCGATGTTCGCTATGTAGCCTCGGGACGGACCCAACAGGAAACACCACCTCCAACATTTTTCCTATTGTTATGGGCGGATGTCTAGCGATACCCCGGATATCGTTGACGTGTATACCAGCCGCTACCAAGCAACGTATCTTCTTTCTGGCGATCGTTACGTAGCAACGGTACTACACGCTATAATATTCCTGGTTTTGAAGTTGAAGCTGGTTACTTGGTCAATAATGAGTTGGCTTGAGTTCGGAAGGAAGCAGTCGTGGCCTAATCGAGGTACTATCCAGTTATTTTCCTGGGGGGGGGGGNGGGGCGGAGAAAATCCTATAAAAATTTTCAGTCAGAACAGTCTGTGTCCCGGCCGAGATTCGAACTGAGCACCTCGCATGTACAAGTCTAGAACGTTACCGTGGCGCCAACCTGTTCGATAGCGAACTTAGTAGGTTTTTAAAACTTTCAATTGTACAAATGTCAGCAAAACACGTCATTGCGTTGCATTCAGTTACTGCGACACCGCAAAGGAACCCCACGTACCGACAGGTTTACTGTCAATGAGCCTATGTACTACCAGACACCACAAAGCGATACATCACGTGGCAACGGAATGTCACAAACAGGCACATTAAGAAACAATGTGAATGACGGTCCGACAATGGCAACAAACAGAAATGCAGTCCTTAACTGCAAACGGAGGTCGCACGGAGCGTTCCTTGGATTCTGCACATCCCATTGGCCTTGGTGAGCATTCGCAAAATTGTTCTTCCACACAGACGGCAATATCGAGCAGGAAATGGACCGAATTACCTACTGAATAATGCAATTAGAACCCGGGAAGCTACTAATGGAGTCCGGGACGAACTGCGGGCAACAGCGGCAGCAAACATGGGGGCCCTCTGCCCGGATTACTCACTTAGGCGGGATATCTCACGGTTCAGCGACGGGCTACGGGCTCAGCGGATGGGGTTCCACTCCCGGCAGGGGAAAAGACTTTTCTCTACGCCACAGCGTCTACAAGCTCTGGGTCCCACCCAAATAAAGTGCGGAGGTGAAGAATGGTGAAGCTCTACCTCCACTATCCATACATCTTTATGCCGTGTTGCTTAATTAGATAAGCACAGAGACACCTTTACTTTACTTTACTCGTTCGCTTCCAGTTTGTTTAACGGTGCTCTCAATTCCTCAGATTACACAGCGCCGAACAGCAGGAAAAGTGAAATAGGAACTGGAAAAAAAGTGGAAGGAAGCGGTCGTGGCCCGTTTAGAGTTATTAATCCCACATTTGCCAGGAACGACTGAGGAATACCATGGGAATGAGAAGAGCTGTTACTCAAGACGAGATTCGAACTCGATATTTTCATTTGACTTGGTTCATTCTGGTCCGTCACACTAGCGATATTATAAAAGGCTATCAACTCCATCCAGTGTGATTGATAAAGTTCTTTTTCTCCTTTATAATCTTTCAACCTTGACATGTTTCGGTCGGAGAGACCATCTTCAGAAGGACGTATGAATACTATTACAATGTGATTGGTCAATATCAATATATACATACACTATCATTACAATGTCTTGAATATAAAACCTGACCAATCACATTTTAATAGTAGTTTCCGCTTGTATTGATATGTCCTTCTAAAGATGGTCTCTCAAACCGAAACATGTCAAGGATGAAAGATTAGAAAGGAGAAAAAGAACTTTATCAATCACACTGGACGGAGTTGATAGCCTTTTTTTACGATATTTTCATATACAGGTCAGGCAGCTAATACATAGCTTACAGTACGAAATTTCATGTAAATCGACCGACTGTGGGAGGGTTGCGCACACAATGCGACACGTGTCCTTGCATGTGGCTACAGACGACAAGCAGTGCACCCTTCGCACACCTCTGTGGCGCGATCTGACGACAACACAACACGGCGTCACATAAGGTTGTGCTGCTCATGGCCCGACTGAGTGCGCTGGCTCAAGCGGTAGCGCTTCCAGCTTCTATTCGGAAGGTGTTCGGTTCGTATCTCCGCCGTAAGTCCCTCCAAGAATGTCAGGATACCTTAAATTAAGCCATGGCCGATCGCGGATTTGGGATTGTTCAGTCGGTATGGTCAAGGGCTGGACAGCTGGGGTTCAATTCCCGGTAGGGGGAAATTTTTTCTCTTCTACACAGCGGCTCTGGGGTCCATCCAGACTCCTACCCAATGGGTAACGGGGGCTCTTTCCGTGGGGGTAAAGCGGCCGGGGCGTGGAGCTGACCACTCACTTCCATCTAGTGACCAGGTCAAGAATCTCTGCTACCCCTTATATCTTCGTGGCACGGTGATTAGTTACTTAAGCACCGGGGCAACTTTTAACTTATTCACCGACTTCTATCCAAGACAGTTATCCAACGAGCAGCTTTCTGGAGCTCCGTTAAGCAAGCCACAGATAATGGAAACCGCGCTAGTCTCGAACCTGTGACACGGGCGCCACCAGTTGCGCTGTGCCTGCCCGGCACAACCAGCTCCCAAACAACAACAAAGCATCGCGCCGTCTCTCTCAGCAGTCGGTTAAAAATAAATGACCTTAGTGTTTACATGTTTCCGACGTTGGCAGCACTGTTCCATCCTGTGCACAAAGCGAAGGTCGCGATGCAGACCGATGCAGACACTTCTCGCACAGTGTTGTGACACGAGCGGGTGAGGGCAGGCATGGCGGACCAGCAGGATAAGACTGATGCTGAAGGGAGCTTCCCCATCGGTGGAGGCGGCATTAAGGACGTCAGGAAGCTGAACATTAAGATGGGCTTCAGGACTTTGTCTTCGCCAAGGAAAGTCGACAAAGGTAGGACTGAGCACAATAGTATGACCCAGGGGTGGCCACCTCCTGTCATCAGCACACCAGTTCTCGATTTTCTCTTACCACTGTATCAACTACTGCAGTCACTTACTGACAGCCTCAGTCATACACGTGACTGGTTGCCGCAGAGCTGTGAAGACGATGTAGGCGCGCCGTGACTAGTGCAAGTTGCGAAGTTGTGACTGAGTGGCGCCGTAACCCTTCCGCGTCACAGAGGACGTCCCATGACGACACAGCATGATGTTCTGTAATGTGACGCCGTGAAGTCTTCAAGACTTTCGAAGGGATATAGTGCCACCATCTTAAAAGTTCGAAGAGTAAGTCGAATCAGAGTCTGCCGGACTACACGGCGTCACATTCCATATTACTTTTCGTAGTTCATCGGTGTGAACTCCTGAGATCTCATTGAAATTGTGAACCAGGGCTTGTCACCACAAGGGGTGGGCTGACCCTGAAGATGGAGGAATCGTAACGTTTGTATCTACTTACAAGAATACACATTGTCAGAACCCAGAAGACCACAATCAGGACTCGTCAGTTTTTTGGGGGAAGTAAAAGCAAGGTCGGTAAAGTGCCCGAGCACTTCCCGAATAAAAATTACTGTCTTCTGGGTCACGGTGCCGTGTAGTTTGACAAATATAAACTTCCCGCCACCGTCATCCGAGTAAAAGGCTCTTCTACCCTGAAAATGAAGACGGCAGGTTTCTATCCACGAAACTACAGGTCGTGACATCCCAGAAGACCGTAACCTTAATATTCACCTCTGTGAGCATCTAATTTCTCGATGGAGTCAGACCTTCCTTCAGACAGGTGGATGTGCGAATGCCAGAATTCACGCCCGACTTAGCGGGGCCTCACTACCGAAGGCCTCCGAGTGGGCAGCGTGAAGCTGCACATTGCATTGGTCTGAGAGTGCACGCTGTCAGTAGCCACACTACAGAGCGCTGAGTGGTAGGTTCAGATAATTTCCTGGGAACCCACAATCAAGATGTGAGGTTTGAGGTTTGCGCATCGGTGACCATGAAGAATACTTACTTTCTGGGATGTGACCCCGTCTAGCCCGGTAGAAGTTTCGGAGAAACGAACTGTCTCCATTGCCACAGAGTCGAAGCAACCAGCAAGTAACAGGCAACAAGCTGAGCTACCTTGCCCATCTTGGTTAACTCACTTACTCTTCGGCCTTGAAGATGGAGACAGTACACTTCTACCGGACTACACGGTATCACACGCCAGAAGACAGTACTGTTCACAGTTGCTGATTTGAGAACCCCAGATCCAAGCCGTTTAGCGAAACAAGCGCTGTTCATTCTGAGAATCACACGAAGCACATAAATACACTGTGTAGGAAGAATGTAGTTTTTAAATGTCAAAGTACATAATACGTAAATATTATTACCACTCTGCTCTAAAGAGATGACACAATTAAATCAAGAAAACATGAGAGGGGCGTGTAGCCTGCATCAGTAAAATGTTGTATGTTCCTAACCTTAGTTAAACACGACGCCATGAAGACGTATATGGGAGTGGAAGTATTGCTCCACGTATTCTTAACCTTGGCAGTAGATGGAAATAAAAGACAAGAACAGTAGCTTGCCCCATGCCGGGAATCGAACCACAATGTTTCGCACGTCCAGCTCGGAGTCCGTCGCTATACCGACTGAAATAAATAGTAAATACAAAATTTCAGCCCCTAAAGATGGAGGTAACAGGTTCTTCTGAAACGTTGGTATCTTTCTACCAGACTGCATGGAGTTATCTCCTGAAGTAGGTCACGGCAGGTTCCTCCTAAACGTTGGTACCCATCTACCAAACTCCACAGCGCCACATCCCAGAAAGCCGTAATCTTAACATTCACCGTGGAGAGGACCCACACATTCATACTTGGTAATAACTGTCAGACGTTGAAGGAAGGCTCATGCGGAACTGTCAAGTGTCGTTACTTTCTCGGCTTATTTAGCGGTAGTGTGAGGTCGACTTTTATGCAAATTCGGAATAGTGCGATATAAATATCTTAAGAAAGTCTCACTTTATGCGCAAAGTTTGAAATGATGCGAGTCCCATAAAACTGGACAAGAATCACGTGTGTTTATCAAAACTTGTCTTGAATTATGCGAGGTCTTCAGGATCGCATCCTCGCGGCCTCGAACGAATGGAAGGCTGAAGCAGTGAGGACAGAAGTTCATGGCGCATTTTAACGCTTTAAATCCCTGTGGCAGTTATACGTACACCCGCTTCAGCATTAACGCTTTTGAAGGTTTTCTTCTGAACAAATATATAACAATTCAGTTCGTACCTCACAGGAAACATACGTTTCCGCTACACAGATTAATCAGCTTTGCCCATGAAGTGTATTTGCGTGTACCGCAAGACTGTCATTACTTTACGGTTCAAAGGGTTAAGCATCCATTCCAAAAATATGACTCGGGAAAACCACAACCCTGAAGACTGAGGCAGCCAGTGCCTCCGAAACGTCGGCACCATCGCCCACTAAGGTGTGACAGCGAAAGAACAGAATTAACATCAGCAACACTACGATACTGATCGGAAATCTGAAAGAGACACGTTCTCAGTTCGAAACAGTGGCTGGAAGACTACACAGACGGGCAGGCGGAGATGCGGGCCGGATTACAGTTCAATGCAGATAACGTCTAAAAATAAGCCAGTTCCATCTCGCGAAGCTGAGCACACCGTCTTGTGAGCTGCAGCGGTGCTCCCGAGGTTTGCGGAGACTCCCCGCCATCTTGAAACAAATGAGTGACACCTGAAGATGTGACGCCGTATAATCTGGAAGGTATTCACCAGCGTTTCGCAGGAACCTGCTGTTTCTGTTATCATGGCAGAAGAAGAGATTCCTGAGAAACGTACCAGACTACACGGAATCACATCAGGAGACACTAATTATCTATCACCGCTGTGGGAACATGAAATCCCACGGCTGTCTACATACAGCAGTTTAAATAATAAGGAAGTAACGCTGTAGAGTCGCATTCGGAAGGTTCTGGGTTCGAATCTCGACAAGGACAGCAGCCGTCCTGACCGAAGTATTTCGTGGTTGTCCTAATTCCCTCCGGGCAAATACGATAAAACCTTCACGCTTCCTTCCAGATCCTTACCAAAACATTAATCACGCTATCATTCATTGCCGTGTATTCTGGGTACTGATGGTCGTAAAATTACCGACAATAAAACACCCATCACAGCAATACACAAACGGAAGCCAGTTCCCCGCGCAGCTGAGAGAGAAGTCAGGCCCTTCCACTTCCGGTTGATAGCGACGGCAGTTCCTGTACTGACCGTACCTCTGGCGAGTAGGCCTCCGTCCCCAGTAGCAGGGATCTGACTCTCTGCTGAGAATGAGCTTTAAGCTTATATTACAGTCTTCTAGTTCCCTCCTCAGGACACACCAGTTCCCATAATGAAGGGGCAACGAGCATGTTAGAGGACCCTGCAATTCAGGTGTCTTGTATCTGGAAGGTAATCAACTGCACGGAGCAGAGCCTCTTTGAGAAGCTGGTATTTGCTCAGGTGACAAATTCAGCATCATGCAACGCAAAGGTACACTGCCAAGTTCACAGGAGACTGCCATTATTAGGGTCTAAAATGGCCCTGAAGGTGCGTCACACCTTAAGCAGGAAACATGACGGAAGAAAGGTCCTGTCTGTTCCCATCTTACGTTCAAAATATAATCTAGTAACTTTCTGACAATGACGCAACGGCCTACGTCACTACTTGATAACGTCGCCTCACAGATATTTTGCAAATTGCAAAGACTCTACCGGGGGCACGAGGTAGCGCAGTTGGCTGAGGCACTATGCTAAAGCCGGAAGGTCGCGGGTTCGGTTCTCCATGAGGTTAATGGATTTTTCAATTGACCTAATTACAAAAATGAGTATCAGGAATCTTCCTGGCGTTAAAGGGCGGCCAGAGCATAAGGCTGACAGTCTTACCGCCATCTGTAAGCCGACTGTATAGATAATATGAGGGCCTCGACGTCTCACATCCCTGTGGGCCTCCACGGCCTGTCACAGCTTTACGTTTTTATCTTTATAGACTCTAACCAGAACCATATGAATCCAACCCATTCCCTCACGCCCTGTTTCTTCGATTCATCTTAATACACTGAGTTTCGAGTACTGGCGAGGGGATGACAAGCCCCAGTCGCCCCAAGCAAACAGAGGAGGTGCAGTGAGAGCCGCCAGCATTGAGAACCTTGACCTTAGTTACAGCCAAGGCCCTACCCATGCAGAGTCACATAAATGCGCCTGCGTCTCCCAGATGGTCTTGTCCAGCTAAGATTCTTTACGGATATGTGAACCCCACAGGTGACCTCCACTTGGACGTACACGCTCGTACGTATCCACACTAAATGGCTCCTTAAGTTGGACAATAGACATATACACCAGACCGGTTGACGGAAGCTGTAATTCGGCTGCCTTTTATGCTCTCAGTCGGTGAACCGGCTGGACAGAATACTTTGTCCCACAGCGTTCAGGCATCCTCTGCGGCCCATCCATCCTCAATATCAAACGAGTACCGAGATTTCGTTCCCGGCGGGTAAAACGGAAGGAGCCTGAAGGTGACAACTCAATTTATCTAGTGATAAGATAAGAATTCGTGGAACTGTATCTCCACTTCCCTATACGTCTTCATGGCGAGGTGCTTAATTAAGCACGGGGACAGCTTTATGTACTGCGGTGGTTATCGTTTCGTACTTCACTTGCAGGGACGGTAGCTAGGAATTTCCACGGTCGGTCTAGCTTTCAACCCCTGTACTTGATACGGGCATTAAAATTGCTTTTGTGTCTACATTACACCCATGTGCAAGCCATGTCTTTAGGGCCCCCATACACACACATTTTGGCCTCCAGTTCGGCCTGCACAGTTGAAGACTGAAAGGCAAAACTGACGTGTGTGGTGCGGCCGGCCGGCCAATCGTTTGGACTGTTGGCCTGTGGGAAACCCGTCAGTCCGTCAGTTCTGCCTGC